AACAGTTAAAAACCTGCAGGCCCATCAGTAACACTGTTAGGTTACGATCCTTCAAACAAACATTTTGAAACACTGCAGCTTGCGTTAAATGTGGATCATTAAAAAAAGTCCAGTGACTCCATGTGTGCATGTTTTAGCTAGCTTCAGTAGCTTGCTAACTTATAGCTAAGCTAATCACTATAAGTGAACTAGGCAAAAAGTGCTGAGATAATGACTAAGACAGCTAAAATGAGATAATAATGAGGTTATTGTTATTAATATTAGATATCTGATGGAAAAATTATTAAAGCCATGCAACACTCTTTACTGCAAGCTGAAGGAATCTTTCTCTGTCCTTGTCTCAGGCCTTGTTGTGGCTCCTCTGCTATCTGTTATCCAGATGTCCGAGTTCACTGTGTAACTGAACTGTTTCTCTGCAAGAGTGTCGCACACATATCTGTTACCAGGATAACGTTCAAAGAAGTATATAAATGAAACTCGTGGGATTGTGTGGGCGAGCATTTACATAGATTATGCCTTTGCTTCCTTGCAAGTAAAATAAATGAGTTGGTACTCGCTGCTCTGTCTCACTTCATTAGACAAGTTCTCTAACAAAATTATACCAAAAGCATCCAAATAAGCCCTCGAATATTCAGCTCGCCAGTGGCCGTTTATGGCATTGATCCCTGAAAAATTACTATGTCACGATAGTTTAATGGCACTTTTGCTCCCTTTAGGGAATTTGCCTCCCTCTCACCTGATCCCCAGCATCCTCCTCTGTCACACCAAACCTCTGCATGTCCTCATGCATGTCTCAGTAGTCTGTGTCAAAAAGTGTAGAAGAATAACTAAAGTAAATAAAATGATAGTGTGATAGTTATATATCGATAGTGTTTCTATCTATAGTTTTCAACATACTTTTGCAGCACTTTAATCATTCAGGCTTTACAGTGAACACACAGAAAAGTACAGTGAAGTGTTCTGTATAGTGTTTCTTTTTAAAAATCATTCTTGTGTGTTGACCAGGTAAGCAAACAGCTGGAATATGTTTAGGATTAAGGTAATCCTAAAGTACCACAGACCATCCTGTGGTGTAAACATAGTTTTCTTGTTAACTTGTTACCTAGAAATGTTTTTGGGATAGCATACATGCCACACATTTATGCTTTTCAGGAATAAGAAGAAAACTTTGCAGTGTTTCTCTAAATCTTTGCATTTATCAAACAGGAAAAGCTCATCAAGGTTTCCATTCTTTCCATTTGGGAATCCATATACAAAAAACAATTATAGCAATCACAGCTTGCTCTCGGTGACTTTGAGAAACTAATGCTATTATCTGTGTGCAAGCTAAGTTTCTAAGTAATCCCTATAATCCACTTTGAAAGAGCATTTGACCCCAGAGCAGAAAAAGATGAGTAAAAGGTTAGGATTTAAAAGGAAAAAGCAAAACTCATCAAAATGAGCAGGGTCAGAAAGCTGTGCAGTGGACATGCACGTAGCCGGGAGGACGCACTTGCAGTCCCTGCAGTATCCATCTGACCAAACAAGAGGATTTGAGTTCAGAAAGAACACGGCCCTCCCCTGGGGGCGGCCATGTTTTCCACAGAGACAAACATGGAGTGAATAACAGTATGACATTACTGCATGCCTGTCAGTTTTTGAATGCCTGCAGATTTGAGTTTTACAATTGTAGAGGATGACACTTGGGAGGACCCATGTTGTGGATGTCATGAGGTGATGGGGATTCATTTATGGAAAGAATTTAATAAAGTCTTCTTTTTTTAAATTAGGGTCTCTTTAGCATAGTGTCTTTGTCCCGTCTCCCTCTCCTCACCCTCTACTGGTCACAGCAGGCGGTTTTCCCTCCCTGAGCCTGGTTCTGCTGGAGGTTTCTTCCTGTTAAAAAGGAGTTTTTCCTTCCTGTTGTCACCAAGTGGTTGCTCCAAGATGTTGTTTGATTTGGGGTTTTTCTCTGTATTATTGCAGAGTCTTTACTTCATAAAGCACCTTGAAACAACTGTTGCTGTGATTTGACAGTATATAAAAAAACTGACTGCAGGAGAACTGATCATAAGCTTGACGGTGAATGTAGTTGATCTATATGTCGAATGAAATCAACCCTCAAGGTAATTAATTTTTTTTGTCCCATCTCTGCCCTTTTTTGTTTAAAATTACCTGTAATTTGTGTTATTTTATCAATTAAAAAATATTGCCGATGGACGGTGATACAGTATGAATTTCAAATTCCTACATCTCCAACCTCTCAATTTATCGCATTCACAAGATTTTCAGAAAACTTGACCTTTGACCTCTAACCTTGCGATCACTAAGATTCGAACTCGTATAAGATTTTAAGTAGATGCACCAATCGTATCAATTTGCGTCATTACAAATCGTGGTTGTGTGTGCGTGTTAAATTTGATTTAGTGATAGTCGAGTGTGTTTAAGCTTGTCTGTGTGGAGAGGATTGATTGGAATAATGATGACGATGTCCGCTATCACTGTCAGTCATCAGTAAACACTTAATCTGGCTGATGAATCTTCACGTGGCACATTACTAAGTCTGTACTATTAAGTCTGTAATTAGGCGCCATTCTTATTCTTATTTTACAGCGTCGTTGTTCAATCGGGGGACGCTCTCTGTTGAGGAGAAAAGCCTGAATTTGTTTGTATACGAGGTATCCATTATTTAAATGTCCCGGGCAGTCGAAAAGGAGGCAGAGCTGTCGAGAAATGCTAGCAGCTAACTGGGCGCTGACCGTGTCATTCCAATACATTAAATGTCGCAGTGTTGGCAAAGAGAGGAAGTGAGGTAAGATTTGCACATGCGTGGTACCGATCGGGTTTTCGGTACAGATCGGGTAGTGACAGTGGCAATGCTTTCAACCAAAACAGGCGCAGCTTGATGACATCATCAACATGCGCTATCAGGGTAGAGCGGTATAGTCAAAATCTCTACAGTTGGCCAAATTCATATCGCTTCGACCGTATACCATTTATACCGCCCACCCCTACCTGTAGTCTATCGATCAGAGAATATTTCATGTTATTTCACTATGACGACAATGAAATCTGAAAGTTACTCATATATGCAGCTAAGCTTGACGTTACAATTGGCATTCATCTATGAAGTAATCAGCTCATAACTTTAAAAAGAGAGACTTTTCACGTGTAGTAGTAAATGGAGCACATCAACACAATGTGCAAAAGTCTGTTTACGTACAATAAAACATAAGAACAGCCGATTGTACAACAACACCAACTCTACTGTATTCTCTGCGTTTGTGGTGTTCCACACAGCAAACAGTGTTGACCGCTAATAAAACTGACATTTTATCAGTGGTCAAATCAACAAATCAGAGTGCGTAAGGTTTCATCTGTTCCCCCATCGAGGCGGCGACAGCACCAGAGAGTTTTAGGAACAAAAACACAGCCTTCCCTTTCACGAATTAGAACTTATACGAGGGCGATCGTGGCTCAAGAGTTGGGAGTTCGCCTTGTAATGGGAAGGTTGCCGGTTCGAGCCCGGCTTGGACAGTCTCGGTCGTTGTGTCCTTGGACGAGACACTTCACCCGCTGCCTACTGGTGGTGGTCAGAGGGCCCGGTGGCGCCAGTGTCCGGCAGCCTCGCCTCTGTCAGTGCGCCCCAGGGTGGCTGTGGCTACAATGTAGCTGCCATCACCAGTGTGTGAATGTGTGTGTGACTGGTTGTGTAAAGCGCTTTGGGGTCCTTAGGGACTAGTAAAGCGCTGTACAAATACAGGCCATTTACCATATGAAACATGTATTACTGATTGGTGAGCTATCACTGATGATGAATAATCATAGACTTTAACACATGACACATTCCCTACTTGCAATAAACAAATAAAAACACAAAGCTCTTACTAAACAAACATACCAAAAAAATGAATTCATACACTATAAAAGCCAGTTACAGTTGACTTCAGCCCCATGCTGTTCAATACTCCTAACTGTAATTTAAAAAATATCCCAGAAACCAAAAAAAACACAGTTTTTGCTAAACATGCATGTGGACAGTGACCAGCACCAACCAGATGGGCCGGCTGTAATCTATTCTGTGATTGGATTTATGAAAATCCCTCTCATGGAGTGATGTGTGCACACTGTGAAATCCAGTTTTGGCACACTTTAGTCCTCTTGTCACATCACGCGCATGCAGGCATGTGTAAAATTGCATCATTCTCTGGAAATGACAGCGGTCTGCCTCATTATACGACTTGGCAGAACACAAGAACATCTTAAGCTGTTTTCACGAGGACTCATCAGCGTTATGATGCTCTGTTTCTCCAAAAACTGCCAGGAGAGTCCCATCTTCACCAAACTGTTCATGCAGTTCGACGAAAACACTGAGCTTCCTTTCAGTTTGTTCACTTGACTAAGTCGTGAGCTTTTCTCTTTGTGACTGAATACATCACTAAAAGTTTCTGGTGCCAGAAGGATTTTAGTCTTACTTGACCTGAAACTTTAACTTGAACACGGCAATGACCGAGAAAAATGCTGATACCATTAAGAGCTTTGCTTATACTTATGTCACCCAGTATAACCCGCCTCTTCTATTGGTTTCCTCACAACTGGCCAGAGCTGGTTGTCTGAGCATCCACTGATCTCAGCAGCCTGAGGGCGTTTTGCACATAACACTCCTAAGAAGGTTAAGGCAACCAAAAAACAAACACCAGCACATACAACATACATGCTACCGTATACCCAAAACAGACATATTCCTGTCTAAAATTATGACAAAGCCACGGGACGATTCAGCACTACTGCATTCGCGTCTTCACAACCACGACTTCCTAAGAAATTCACTGTCCTCTGTCGAGGCAGACTTGTCACTTAGCAGGACATACAAAGCTATTTCTGGCCACTAAGTGGACTCAGCAACTTTGCTCAGGTCACGCAGAGTCACAGAAGCGTTTTTCTCTGGAAAAGAGAGCAGCCTTCAGCAAAGACAGACGTGAACTCTAATCAGGCCTGACACCGAGTCCATCAGAACTTACTGAGAGGTTTGAGGATGCTGTTGCTGGCCTCGTCGTTGTTTTCTGTCTCCGACTTGTCAAAGACATTCTCCATCAACTTCTCCTTTCTGTCCTTGTGGCCGGTTTTCCGGCGGTGACGCCTCCGACGTCGATAGCTCTTGGGCACGTGCACGCCGATGTAAATGGTGTGGTGACCTGTAAATAAAGCAGAAAGGAAGATGAACTCTGACACGCAACATCCTGACAAATTCACAGCGCCATGATACCGCAAAGACAAACGTCCGAGCTTTCCAGAAATGACAACAAGGCCAGAATATCTATGAAGGCTTGTGCGCTCATAGTCACCCTGTGAATAAAGCCCTCAGCTCAACACGTTATAATCATTTAAATGAGGAAAATAGTTACATTGTTATAAAGCATTCAAATAAACCAGATGCACTGTCTGCACTACATACACAGATGTTAAAGCAGTGCTTTTCAAACACCTCATTTAAGGGCTGATAAAAGTTAAAGCATCCCACCATTTTTATTGGTTAGTGAAAACCAGTTATTCAATTTTTGGTTTAAATTTTAGGTTTAATTAAATTAAATTAAATTAAATTTAATTTAATTAATTTAATTTAAGTTTACATTCAATTTTAGGTTTTTATTTTTGTAATTCAGGTTTGGTTCGGTGGCTTTCCTGAGTGGATTTGTTCGCTTCATGTCAGCTGTTATTTAACAATGCTCAGTTTTAGTTTTATATATTGACATTTGTAGGCATCTTTTTCATTTATATTATATGTCGGGGGCATATTTCTCAGAAGTGCAGAGTAGATCTTAGAATACAAACAAGATTTAAAGGTAGGACTTCGAAGTTCATACAATTTTTATGCAATGTTGAGATAAATAAAGCAAATATTGGCACCCAAAAGTGCTGAAGTTCAGGACACATAGCCTAACAGTGGAGCAGATGTGCCTCTGACCTTTAGATAATACACTTTTAAACTATCAAACATCACTGACAGAAAACTTATTAACCATAATTCTTCATCCCTGATCAACTTCTTATATATTTTCCTGTTTCCTAAACACTATTAAACCCCGATTCTTTTGTCCCCGTGACAGAACAGAGAAAACCGACTCATAGTGTGTTAAAATATTGACATTTTATTCAATCATCTTCTGGAAGAGAGAGACCCCTGCACAGCTCAAACGCCAGTTGCAAGAGCTCTAACATTAGAATCATAAACTGTGCTTCATATAGGTGTGATTTTGGTACTTTACACATCACACAGTCTCAAACTTTGCTTATATGGCAAGTTCCTCATTTCAGTGTCTTATCTATTAATATGGCTGTGCACTAAAACTTCCTGTTTTTCAGTCTGGCTGAGCACTTAGTTTGGGAGTCAAAAGCGGCCTTGCTCTACAAGCCTTTATTAAAGTACATAAAACAATATAATGAGCAGATACACATTAAAAATATTTCTCTTATCCCTAACAACACACCATAGCATTCTAGCATTTTTCCCAAGCCTGGTTTTTAATCACTACAATAAGAACGACGAGGAAGAAGGACTGAAGTTGACCGTGCACGTTAGCAGCAAAGCTCACTTTGTTTATTTTGCCGTCCACCCGTCCAGCCATGTATCCACGTCCACTTATTTACAGTTACAGTTGGGTTATAGCATATCTCGACTGTTTATTTTTGCTTCAGAATTAATATTCGTTGAGCTCAGCTGCTGGAGACATTAACCTGTGGACTCGATCTGATCTTGACCACTTCTCACCTCAGTTCGAGCTTTCTCACATGGATCAGAGCAGAGCGATGGCACCAGAGCAGCGTAACAGTGGCAGCAGTATGCCATCAAGTCACACTCTGCAGTGAAGCCACCACCGACTGCATGGCTACATCCCTCGTATACAGGCTGACAAGCAGACCATACTGCATGCTAATAACATATTATTTGCATGGATGTGAGGTTCATGCCAGCAGGCTTCACTGTACATCCACACGTGTGCAGAATAAGGCGAGAAACTTTTACATAAGTTACTGAACTTTAACTTATTACTAATGCGGGTATGTGAGAATTGAAGCCACACGTACCTGAGTGTTACATTGTCAGTTAAATGGTCATAAAATTAGTTTATTAATTTTGAATCTGATCCTGACACACTTTCTTTCATAGCATCAAACATCAGAAGTGCCCCTGAAGCTACTTTAGTGATAACAGAATAATAATTTAGTTCTGCATGCTTCATTTCTTGTAGTTTCAACAGATTAGTTGGTGTTTAACGCCACTAATACTTAGCAAATAATCATGAACGCCAGTTTGCCAAAACTTTACAAAAAACTTTTTTTTGTTTTTCATTTCAGATGTTTATTCTTTGTAGTAAATTAGTAAAAATGTGAATAATAAGAATAATTCTCATCATCTTCTCTCATACCTGCAAACCTTTAACTTAAGCTAATACAATCTGTTTTATATAATCTATTATTTTCACCAGACTTGGGTAAGAAAAAAGCCCAATAAAAGCAACATCACAGAGCAAACATCAAACGGGCTCCAGGAAGAAAAAGCTCTGTGCGATCGGTGTCAAATGTCTCCTTTGGAGCAGGTCGGGCGAAGCTGAGCCAAGCACTGCACATGACCCAACCAGGAAGTGGCTGAACCCCTCAGCACAACAAACAATGACCTCTTAGAAGCACAACAGTGTTCATTATTCACTCGTACCACAACGCCTTGTCTTTTATTTTTAGGGATTCATCTAAATTCAGTGACACCAACAGTTCACAACACCGAGCTGATGCAGGGACGGAGAAAGTCAACAACTGTGAAGGCTTCTGTAAACCAAGGGGACTATTTTAGGTGGTCGGGCGTTGTGCTCCTCTGTCTGTGATCATTTATTACATTTTTCAGATGACGTCCAAACAGAGTGAAGAGCAAATATTACACTGAGCCAGGGGCTGATCTACAGCTGCCCCCCAACGTTTACCTCCGTCACTTTTAGGAGAGCTTGAGCTCTTTCCTTGGCCCGTCGGGTCGGCTGGATGTGGTTTGTTTAAAACTCTTTTTTTTTTTTTTTTCATCTAAAATGACAGAAATATGCTTCAACACATCTCTGGTCTTCTGTTTTGTTCTCAGAACTAAACTCTGGCTTCCTCCCACAGTCCAAAACATGCAGTTGGTGGGGACAGGTTAATTGGTAACTAAATTACCCACAGGTGTGAATGTGAATGCAAATGTTTGTCTGTCTCTACGCGAGCCCTGCGGCACACTGGCAACCTGTCAAGGGTGAACCTGGCTCTCGCCCTAATGCAGCTGGGATAGGCTCCAGCAGCCTCGTGACCCTGACAAGCATAAGTGGAAGAGAATGGATGGTTGGTTAAAATTCCACACGGAGTGTTGTTATATTAATATTTAAAAACGTCAATGCTGGGTATCTCAAAAACTTGATGTGCTTAATCAGACCACATATCTGAAGTCAGTGTGGGAGGTGGTGAATAAAAAGCATGACAGAAATAAAAACGGAGACAGAGGAAGACAAAACTGGAGACCGAGCCACCATCACCCACACCTGACCTCCTGCCCTCTGTGCTTTTGGTTCAGCAAAGATGGCACAACTCCCATGTTTACATGATAACATGCAAACACAAGATTAATCTACAACTCTGGGATCCTGTGCCAAGGAGGGGAAACATCCAAACAGAATTCATGCACTCTAAGAAACGAGCCTTCAGCTAAATGTAAACTCTCGTGACACCCTAAAGTTTTGCCCACCCTAAGGTTTTGTGCGTGGTGCTTGGGGTCTTTGAAAGCAGAACTATTAAATACAGGAAGTCCAGGTTGAGAAATGAGAAGGCCTGCTATATGATGGAGGGACGACTGGTGTCATTTACTTTAAATATAGTTTTTACTTCCTTGGATTCTTGTGTTATGCATTTAGTTAGTTGTTAGATTTAATTACTGCTAAACTAAAGTAACTATTAAACTGGTGGTTTGGTTGATACCTCTTTGTATCTTGTTTATCTTGTTTGAACAGCAGCAGTGGGGAGGAAGACCATCATTTTAAAATTAGTAGACTTTTAAGAGAACCATGTTCAAGGAGGGACAGCCATCGACTACGACTGGTCGGAGGAAAGAGAACTGAGACAAGAGGGACACAGAGAGACAGGGACCAACACAAACTACAGGAGAGTGAAGACAAAGGTTAATGGCATCCCTGCAGTAATGGCACATAAATGCATCAGGAGTGAAAAGAGGGAGTAGAATTCAGTGCATCATGGGAAATCTTCCAGCAGCCTTGGTTACACTAACACGTTTAAGTTACTGTAGCAGCAGATCATTATTGATCTGTTCCTTAGTTTCAGACGAGCAAAAACAGCTGTTACTTCTTTCAAGTCTTCTGGAGATTTTTTTTCCAGCTTTTGTGTCCTTTGTGCACAAAATCAGCCCTTCCCCTGCCTCCTTACGGTTCATGCCCATCCATCAATTCTCTTCTTTATCAGTATCAGGGGCTGGAGCCTCGCAGAGGTACCACAGGGTGAGAGGTGGGGTACACTCTAGACAGGGTGCAAATCCGAGGCAGAGCTAACAATGGTTCAAATCTATTTTTAACTATTGATCTGTTATTTATTTATGTTTTTATGCTTGTTTCTCTTATGGAACATGTACAAAAGAAAGGAGAGGAGATGCCAGCATCTGAACAGGAACTCACTTAGCTGCCCGAGTCTGCGTCTCTCCAGCCTAACGTAGCAGGATAAGACCTGCTGTGCGGGAAACCCTGCGATGGAGTCAAAGTCATCAAACGTTTTAAATCTCTTTTTAATCAGTGTATGTATTTTGGGCTGGTGACCACTGAAAATTGTTAAAATGAAATAACTGCCCAGGGGTGCAGGGATGATGCTGGGTGGCAAGACTTGCTTCTAGGTGAATTTCTGCGCCGGCATTCTGGTAGTTGTATAGCAGAACCAGGTAGCTCAGTTTAACATAACACAGGTGGCATAGGAGAAGATAGCTTGAAGCCTGACGCAGTCGTAAACAAGCTTTAAATTCAGGTGAGCTTCCATCTTCAGTGTCAAATTAAAATGTAGTGGAAACACAGCCTACCTGGATACATCAGGTGCAATAGGTACAAGGGAAACTAAAACACATTTCAAACACCTGTGTTTGATGAGCAACTTCAAAGTGTCAATAAATGACAGTTATGTAATTAAACAATTGGATCAATGGTGGATTTGGAGACTAATGTGGAGATTTTCCTGTTGCTGTGACTCAACATGACAGAAAAGCTGAGACACAGATGGCTGAACAGTAGCTAAAAGAGACAGACGGCGCTAATAAAGAACACCGAGCCATTACAGCTGAGAGACGAGCGATAAAAACGAGACGCTTGCATAGGCCGAAGCAGAACAAGAAAGGAGGCGGCTGAATGAGAGGACAGCGATGAAGGCGAAGGAATAAAAAAAATAGTCAAGTCAAGGAGCTGGAAGGGAAGATTTGCAGGGAGCCAGAGCGGCTTTGTGAAACAACTTCCTGTTCTTTTTTGGAGGGTGGAAGAAGAACTTCTTTTGGGGTCGCCCATGAGCACAAAGTGAATGAAATCTTGTGTTTGCCAGGAGGTTTGTTTAGCTCGCCAGATTTCTGAGGAGAGGCAAGGCTACAGCCAGTTTCCCCAGTAACAGCACTGCTGGGACATTGCCAGACCAGTGGTGGGGGGAGTGGCAGCACACCACACAGCACTGACAGCATACTAATACTCCAGCCTTTAAACGTGTTGTTGATTGTTGGGCTTCTTTGTCAGAAAGAATACAGATTTGTTTTTGCTGACTCAGCAGCAGGAGAGACTAAACAGACTAACTGCTGCTAAAAAGAATGTGATACCTGGCCCAAAGCTGCTTTACAGAATCAAAGCGTACAGTGAGAGACGTGTCCGGCTGTATGTCCGTTTGGCTCCTCTGAGAAAGCAGCACAGAGCGGGAAAACAAAACGTAGCCATCAGATCCGAGACTGACGTGTAAACTCCAGCACTGATTTCACAGTAACAAATACGCATCTTTAAAGTAGATTATTCTGTTGTTTATTCTGGGTCTTGGTTGTTTGAGCTCCTCACCTTAATGAGCCAGATTTCTTCTCATTGGATGCCACTCACAGACAGAAGGTTTGAATAGCAGGTGGGCGGAGCTTCTGTCCCCAAAGAGTACAATAAGTGGGATATGTAGAAACTGACCTTTTGGATCTCAAAAATGACTTGTTCATGCAGTCAGGTCCATAAATGTTTGGACAATCACTCGATGTATTTCGATGCCATGACAGGCCGTCGGTCACTCCTTCATTTAATCACTGCTGAAGCTGTTTTTCATTTTTCTTTCACTATTTTGTTTCACTCCTAATTTCACTTCACTTTAATAACATTGCTCCCAATTCCAGCTTCATGTGAAAAGTCTTCTGTGTGTATTGATAATATACATAAAACTCATGAGATTATTATTATCATTACAGGGCTCTACACTAACTAACTTGTTAGCATCGCTTAACACCGCAGTTTTACATGTGCACATTTTTTGGGAGGAAGTTGCAGTCCATACAGACAGTATTCATTTCTAAATTATTAACTAACAAACTTGTGCTTAAAGTGCTTTGTCAATATTGTAGAAAATGTTCAACTTAATCATCATCTCAGCTCCTCTGACGACCTGTTTGCTGTTGCATGCTGCTGACAGGCAGTGGGGAGAGGGGACACTTGGGCATTTATTGCAGCATATAATGTGTTTTCTGGATACACTGGTGCTTTTTCAGCGTTCAGAGGTTGATGGCACCGTGTCAGAGCTGGCTAAAAATATTCAGAATATTGCAGAAAATATTCTGCAATATTCTGAAATTTTGCATAACAGCTATTTTATTTTAAGTTTAAATTTCTTCAGTATTGAACAACAGAAATAGGCTTTCTTGTCCGAGGTCATTTAAGTGAAAAAAAGAAAAGAAAAAGACAGCAGCCGACAGCGCTGTAATCAACGGTAGACTGGTGGGTAATAAGCGAATGAATAATGCAGAAAACAGAGATTGGAGACGAGAAACTGTTCCTGAAGTACAGAGAGAGAGAGAGAGCTGTGTGATTTTTATCGTGGTGGAAGCAAAACAGCAAAACTCAGAGGGAATTCATGACGACATTGATCACATGTGAAGCGCAGTTTGCTGCTTCTTTTGCTGCTGGCTCGGTGAATTTTGGTTGGAGAGACAAAACCTGCAAAAAGACGTAAACACAGAGCGGACCCGACGCATCAGGATCGCTGAGCTCCGACAGCGTGTCCGTCTACGGGCCGTCGGGTGAGAAAGCCGAGAAAGACAAAGCTGATTCTGATGCGTCGGGTCTGTGTTTACGTCTTTGTGTGGAGTCCGTGTACCTGCTCTCATCTGCTGTTTGGTTGTTGTTGAAATGGTTTTGTGAGCTTTAATCTGAGAATCTGGCGTTTCTGGCAAAACACAGTTATATTTAAAAGTCGATTCAGGATTTAATGAATTGATATCGCTTTATTCAAGCTACTCACCTCCCACTTCCACCTGCACTTTCAACTGGACCACGGCCAATCAGAGAGGTCCCGCCCCTTACTATCTCTGATTGGTTTAGTCCACGATAGGGGCATAATGTGTGTCTGTTGTTGACCACAGGGAAGGTTGCAGATTTTTTTTTTTTTGTTACCCGAACAGTTGGTCGCACTGGTGCAACCAAATATTTTTTTAGTCGCACCACTGAAAAATTTGGTCTCATTTGCGACCAAATTGGTCGCACTCTAGAGCCCTGCATCATCATCATTATTATTATTATTATTATTATTATTATTATTATTATTATTATTATTATTATTATTATTATTATTATTATTATTATTATTACTATGTTGACAGCTTTCATTATTGAACAGGTTTATAGTTTTTTAACCACGGGTTAGGTGGCTCTTACATTCCTTGACTCCAGGTGTATTTGTCAGTGTTGGGAAGATTGGTCTTACTGTGTGCAGCTAGTTCACAGCATGAACTTAAATTACTTAAATATACCCCAATGTCTCATTAGTGGCCCTGGGCAACACAAAACAATAGCAAGAGTCTGCAGTGGATCGCATGCCATACTTTGAAGTTCCTGGATTTAAAGTATTTAAGATTTACTTCATTTCAAATTTAAAATCAGCTTTCATGTATAAATATTTTTACAGTTCGTCTGTTACAGACACAATCTAAAATGCAAAAAAACCAGAAGGCCATGGCTGCCTGTAATCCTAAATGAGCGCAGAGAGCAGAATGCAGCTCATTCTAAAGTTTTAAAGCTGTTAACTGGCGCATGTTAAAGACGGCAATGCTGAAAGGTTTTCCTGTTCCTGTCCGCTGTCCTGTAGGTCAGGATTAGTGAGGTAAACACAGCATCACGCGCTCTGTGGTCCACATCTTTCTCCTGCCAGCTCGCTGAATAGCTGAGCATCAGGTTGTACATGCAGGAAGTAGAAACTGGCAGTTTTGAAAAGGCTAAACGACCTCCCTGTGTTTTGGGACTTCTTAAAAAAAATTATATACATATATATATAAAATTCTGTTTTCTTGGTTAACTATTGTTTCTAGGCAAATTGGGCTTGTTTTTTACTTCAGAACCTGAGGAACCTCTCAGAAGTTTTAAAAACTGGGAAAAATCTATTTTATTTCTTCTTCTTTTTTTAGGCAGCTACATAGAAGAACTAAAGAGCAACAGGTAAAACTTACCTTCTACTTCCTCTTCATCACAAAGGTGCTTGAGTAAGGATGCCCCGCGGTCCAGCACCGCCTCATCCTCCATCCTGTAGTAGTAAAAAAGGAAGAAAGACTGTTCACACTTTTCCTCCAGCGACAGCGTGGAGCCATAGCGCTTGGGCTCGTTCACTTGCAGTAAGTTCGGACTGGGGTTCAGTCTGGTGCTGCTGGTGGCGCTCATCTCCACCCATCAAAGGCTCCAGAGTTACAGCGCCTTGAGATGTAATTTTCAGCAAGCAAACTATCCTAACTTAGAGAACACGCGTCGTCCTTCCGGAGGACAAAGTGTGCAGTCGGTAAGTGTGGTGTAATGGATTTAATCTAGAAGAGGGGGGTGAGGGGAGGACAGGAAGTCCTCTAATTGACTACGATGTCCAGAGTGTCCGCGCTGGACATGCGCGAAAAAATGTCCGACTGACCGAGACTTAAACCCGGTAAAATCCGGATGTGACTTTGGCTTCACTTGACTTTGATTAGAAACAGAATCAAGGTGAAAAACCATCAAAGGGAGCGTCAATAAATGTTGTGTCTAATCAGTTACACGCCCCCACATTACAAAGCCTCTCCATCTGTTTGGTAATGCCTGCCAGCCCCCCCTCCATCACCCTCCACCCAAGAAACAAGTGGGCCATCACATGTCTGTATACTCATCCTCCCTTACAGGATTACACCAGCTTTACTTAAGTGACATCACACTCACACAAGCCCGTAAGAGGCTGGCGTGCCGGCGCCTCCGCCACTCTCCAAGAACCTCACAAACGTAACGTTACCTCCAACGGGCCGAACTGTTTCCCAACAAACATTGACAATAAAAAAGGATTCAAATGTCTCTACAGGCTGACTTGCCTTGAAGGTAACAACAGGTTTTGCCTTCTAGATTTTATACTGATCTTTACAGTATGTACTGCCAGTTATGCAAGACGAGCAACAGCAGAAATAAAAACGTTGCTGTCTTTAAGCTCAAATCTCTGTTTTTTTGGGGGTTTTTTTTTTACACACACACAAAAACATTCACAGTTATAAGTTCCAGATCTTCCTCATAATTCACAAGCGTCCTCACACCCTCGTTTGTCCTACAGTGTGCTTTTCGTTTGTTTTAATCAAAAGATTTCTGAGTATTTTTTTCCAGGACAATTCTTTTGTGTGCATGTCGTTCTGTCTGTTAACACGACCGATCGAAGACTTTTGAACTGATAAAATGGCAGAATTCGGTCGTTTTAACAGTCTATTAAAATTCGCTTTTCATCACTAAGATCTTCAAGGTTCACTTAATGATTTTTTCAGTTGAAAAGTGACAGAAAGCCTGTGCCAAACATCAGGTGCAGGGGCCAGAATTGGCCCACCAAAGACTCCAACCTGGGCCACTGAGCGGCTTAGGAAAACATGAAGGAGGACATGAATTTTAAACCTGTATTTTCAAGTTTTACAGTTTTTCTTGATGGTGACTCCCCGTCCAATACCAAAGCAAAAAAGTTGGATAACAATTAAATACCAGAAAGTGCACTGCCTACTATAGAACTGTCAGTTCACTGTAAAAATCATGTAAAAATTAAATATTCTGTCAATTAATAAAAAGTTTCTGGATGCCCCGCCCTTAACCTGCTTCAGGTGGAGGCCACTTCCTGTTATAACTGGCTTTTTCTTTGCCGTTGTTTGTGCTGCTCAAAAGGGAAAGTCTCTGTGGGAGCTTTCTGTCTAACATTGGACAGACTGTGTGACACATCTTGTTGTGATTGTTGGGAATTGGTGCCTTTGCATGATAAACAGGATGGAAACAGATGATAAAAGCATGACATAATGCTTTCCTTAAACACAAATCTTTCCTCATCAGTTCAGTCAGATTCTGAATCTTTTTAAGCCCTTAAAAAGCTTCAAGTTCAAACAAAACATCTGCTGCTGCTGTGAAAACAACACCAGTCGTTTTAGAGGTTTTAATGCAGACACAGACTGTTTGATGTGTTTGCAAAAAAAATAGTCCAATTTTTTCAAATCTGTCTGCAGAATTTAAAAGCCTCCTAACTGTTACCTGCAAAGCAATAAAATATTGAATTCATTTAACATCCATTTCTTCCACTAATTAATTGATTATAAAGAAAAAAGAAAATGCCTGAAATCTCTTCTTGCAGCTTTTCAAATAGGATTTCTTGCCTTTTCTGCACATCAATGAAACGTTGTCTTCCGTTGTCGAAAGGTCAGAGTGACATTTGAAAAGATTATGAGGCGTTCTTTGAGAAATCTATTTCTACTCAGTTTCTAACCAAAAGAACAAACACGCTAAAAGATGAGAAAACACTAACAAGCTAATTTTCTTTAAGTTAGCAGCATTGTTTCAGCGGGGCATACTTTCAGATCGAACGTTTAAGGTGTTGTAAACAGGCGTACATAAAACAGGCGCTCTGTAGACGTCATTTTGAGCTATTGGAAATGAAAGCACTTTTTTCTGTAACAGTAATCTTAAAAAATGATCAGCAGAGCCTCAGGTAACGGACGTTGAAGCCCCCAAGACAGGAAATAAATTAATGATCTACATTTGGTTATTCTGTGTATTTAGGCAATATCAGATAAATAACAACAGCATCTATAAGGACGTCTTCAACATTTTGAGGGGTTTAGGTCACAGAAGGTTTGACAGTTTGGGGATGAGAGGGCTCAGAGGTTAAAGGTCAGCTACAGAACTGTCAGGAGACTCATTAATGTGTTGTGCTGTGTAATTATCATGCATATAAAATAACATGTTTACTTTTTCTCTTGTTAGGCAAAGTTATAAAGCCAGGGCAGGAAGAAGTGTGTGTTTGCAACAATCCACCAAATGATCTGAGTTACAGAGTCTCTTATCCAGGATTTGGTGATATTACCTAATACTCAGATAAAGGCTGTGTGATGGGCTCCTTCGCCATCCTTGTCTGCCTGTCTGTGTGTCTCGCCACAGGTATTGCAGAGAAGTTGTTATTTGTTCTCAATCAAGACGCCAGCAGACCTGGGCGCAGTGCACCTGTGCCTCACGGCAGCCCTCAGACTTCAGTTCCTGTGGTGCTCTCTTCCCTGAAACACTGCTTCAGCGTTTGCTTGCTCCTGACTGCACTAACTTCACATGCACACTGGTTGATTTAACTTCCTATATTTCTTTAATTTAGCATAAACTGTTTCTTAATTGGTGCCCTTTGCCATGCCCATGCAGCCTGGTTTGTGGTTTTACCGGTTAAAGAACAAACTGGAGTTTTGATGTGCCTGAGTCAACTTCTTAAGAGCTTTAAAATAACACTAAGTTTCAGTCACAGCTAAAGCTGTGGTTTTGTATCTCTGCACTTCACTGGTTTTCCTGCTAATGCTGCCGTTCCCACTTCCTTCATTGCCACCTATGGAACAACCAAGGACATAACATGCAAAACTCCATTCGGCCTCGGCTGACCGCCCACACATGCCTGCACTAAATTTAACATAAGAGAAGAAGAAACGACCTCGTGTTATAAAAAACTAAAAACTCTGTCTTGTATCTGCTTCTACCCTAACTCTAGAGTTTTAAGAGGTAAAGGTTTAATAGATATCTGGCTTCATATTTTGTGTGCATGATATGAAACCAAAACCTTTGAGCCTCACCTTTTACCACTGGGTTAAACATAATCTGACAGATTTAAAGTGCATAATGAAAAACAAGCAATCCAAACATTCACTGATTCCTCTGCTGAAAGGATGTGGCGTTTTTTTTCTGCACAGTCTTAACTTATCAGACTTTTCCAAGTTGACTTAAAGATCAGTCTCATGTCACGTGATCTCATGAGTTCATAAAGGTACATTCTTTGCATCTTCTGTCGTATGCTTTGCTATTTAGAAACACGAGTCTTATTGTATTTAACAAGTGAGTGACTTATAGTTCATAATGAACTCATTTAAACCAAAAGTGACAGGCAGAGTCTGAGTCCAGTCTAGTTTATAGTAAGAAATCATCTTTGTAAAAAGAATGTGTGGTGGCTTATGAGACCAAAAGGGGGAAAAACAATATTACCAAAAAGTGCAGAAGACGATACACTTCGTCCACCTTTACATAACTTTTATTGGGCAGCACTTCAACAGATGTTCCTTCTTTCATACAACAAAAGTTCAGGACTTGACCTTGAACCTGATCTGCTCCGAGTCTGCTGCTAACATAGAAAGCTTTCCATTACCTTTGCTTTTAATGGAAGTTCTGCTAAAATAATGCTATGCTAGCTCTCCAGTTAGAACAAATGGAGAATAAACGCACCTAAAATGCAAATCACATGAACCCTTATGCAAGTTTCATTAATCAATAATTGACACTTTGCATATGTTAAAGATTAGTAACTAAACCTTGAAACAACCCTATTAAAACTGTACAAGCAATCAGAACCTAGAGGGCTGTAACTTTGCACTTACATTAGTGCAATCTGTCCCTTCACAGATAACTTATCAGTCTCTCTGTCTTCACTACAACCTGCATGTAGCGTGCACTCTCTGTCTGTGTCTCCAAACCATGGAAACATCAAACAGCCTAAAGGCATCCACATTGTGTTGTGGCTGACGGCATCTGCTCACGTGAGAAATGAAAAAATGCATGCAGGTCATGTATCGAGTATCTCTGACCTCTGGTCAGATTTGTAAAGGAAAATCTCCCTACAACAACTAACAACAACTAACAACAACTAACAACAACTAGGGCGAAGTAAAAGTCATCACTCTGAAAGCCAAAAGGGTGGTTGTGCAGTAAAAGGATAGTTTTTTGGTAGCTATCACACCTGAAGATTCAAGTGTGGTGTCTAAATAAACGCAGGTGCTGATGGATGTTGAAATTATGGCTCCAATCTTTGTGATGGAACAAACAAAAGATATTCAGACACTTTTTGTGATTCATTTTTGATCAGATTGATTAACTGTAATAAGCTTTGCTTTTATCGTCTCTGTGTTCGTCTTTCTTCTTTGTGTTCTTTATTCGGTTTCTAATTGCAACCTTGAAAAACCCCATCATAAAGCCGCACCAAGATCTGGGTTTCTACAGTTATTTCAAAAACCTTCCAAATGTTTTTAAAATACAAAGATAGATCAATATATCCAATATATTCCGTGATTAATATTTATCAGAGAAATATAGGCGGTGTGTTTAAAGTAGCTTCACCATCCAAACAATTGCACGTTAGGTGACAGAATCCATGTGTGTCAGAGCTTACACTTTCACATCTTTAAACCTAAACTGACCTTAAAGGGCTGGGCCTTTGTTAATGGACGACTGTCCTGCCTCGACATGTGATATTTATTATGGGAGCTACGCTCAAATTGACAGATTTCCTATTTTAAATGAATCTGAAAGACTAAAAGAACAAATTAAACGCCTGTTTTTACGCTTTTACTTTTTAAATCAAAACATCGTAATTGTTCACAAGTATCAGCAGCTTTTTTTCACACACGTGTGTTCGAATCAATCTTAATATATAAAATGTCTTAACTATGCTGTGAAAAAGCGTCTGACGGGATCACTTACTTCTTGGTGCCACTCATCTCTTCAGCGTGCGATAAATCTCCTTGCTGAGCAGAGCGGATCAGAGGAGCGAGCGGCTGCTGATGTTTGACCTGACAAAGTAACACAGAGAGATGA